GGAGACCTTACCAGCTTTGTTTATTTATTTATTTTAATGGGTTGCAAGTAAAATGTGATGTGTGTAAGAATAGATAGAGTCCACAAAATCTGTAGTCTGCCCCGTGTGTCACAAGTCACTGTGCTTTGTCCATGTGCATCCAGCAGGTTGTTACACCACAGCACGACTTGTATTTAGCCAAGGATGCTTCCCTGGAAGGCACACGTGTCTTCATTTGAGGGTCTCAGGAGCTGGCTAAACCACCAAGGTGCCTTTTGAAGTTGAAAATAAGGGTAACTCGGAGAGCCTGGATAAAAAGGCTCATCTCTCTGCTACAAGGCATAAATGGGGTGTCGTAATTTTTTCCCCCCACTAATTGTTTCTTGTAAACGTATCATTATCATGTTGCCTGGCGACTTTTTACAACTGTAAAGGTGTCAGATAAAAGATAACTGTGACTTTCTAGAGTAATCCTTTGCGGCTAGTAAGTTACTTTAAAAGGCTGCATAAGCTCTCTCTCGAGTACTTTTACTCCATCAATCTGATCTAAAGGTATTTGAAGCTGAGGTAGGGATTTAGTGCAAACTCTGTTTTCTTAATTTACTCACTCGTGCTTATCTGACACCTTATTCCTTGTCTTTTGGCAAGCACTCTTACCTAAGAATATCCTGACTAATTCTTGATTAGCAGGTGAGAATCGTAACTTGCTAATTTTTGATGGCTGTTTCTCGTTTGCTGCCTGCTGAGCAGGGGACCTGGTGGCTCTGACAGCTCGTGGTTGGGGGCTTTGGAGCATCTTTCCCTGCCCAGGCGTCAGCTGAACCTTGTTTCTGTACGTTGGCCACAAGTTTGTTTAAAATGAGTCGATTCAGCCGTCAGGATGTGTCTGGAGATGAGTATCTACATCACTGGAGATGGCTTCACAACTAGCATGCCTGAAGGCAGCTGATTGGAAGGGCTACGGGAGGAGGATAAATTATACCTTCAGTTCTACATAGCCCAAATAATGGAGCTTAATTAGATTTTCCCTGGCAGTGCGTGGAATTCCCATAATTGTTGTAATCCATGATCAAGGCTACGCTTGCAATGCAAACTGCATCTTACCCATACCTGCTGTTGAGGTGGACAGTGGTCACCTGGCCCTAAGTTCTTTGCCGTTTTTGCAACGTTTGTGTAAACTGAGGCACCTTCTTGGACTCCACGGTACCAGAGCGGTGTTGGGTGCTTCCTCTTGAGTATGTCTAGATAAAAGTTGTAGCTTGTAGTTGTGGCTGGTGTACTAGCTGAAGGCAGAAGCTTCTCAGGCATTACATGGAGAATTTAGACACGTCGTGTAGGATCTTCTCCTGAGCATCTAGATGCTGTCATTTAGGAATCCACATTCTTTGGTGGATCTGACCCGCAGAGGCAAAATAACTCTTTAGGGAGGAGAGCTCTTGGGAACCCACGCCAGGGTGGGAAACGGTGTCAGACTCTGGTGGGGAATTTGCTTTCTGCTGCCCACGCGCTTGTTGCTTTGGATAACTGGGCGTTGTTTTCTTGAGGTTTTCTAGTCTCCATTTCTATTAGCACCGAATTCTCCCACTCATTTATTATACTTTTTGTCCAGGCTGCTCTTGGTTTCCAAAGAAAAGCAGCCAGTAAGTAAGCGTTTAAGCGCTCCGTTTTTGCCTGCTCAGCAGTGGAAATGCTGGGTTTTGAAAACCACCCACTAATTTTAGGAGCCAAAAGGCTCCTAAATTCTGAACCTTGTGGTATGTCTTTTTTTAAAGACAGAGGAGTCGGCAAAAGAACTTTGCCAGTTCTTTCCCTGGGGACTTTTTTTAAGTCTTTAGTTTTAACGCATCTCAGAAAATTTTAAATGTGAGGAAATGACAAAAAGCATGGAGCCGTAGTAAATATCCGTCTTTTCTTGTTAGCACACTTATAAACAGTACATTTGGCTAATCCAGTAGTGCAATTTACCTTGCTCATGGAAACATCTGAAGAGTAATAGTATCTGTGTGGTGACTAGCAAAGAAAAAATCTGATGGCAGAGAAACAGCTCGAATCCAAAGGGTGGCAGCGCAAAAAGAAACATTTACTAGGAAAATAAAATGCATATGGGGGCTTTCAGGCTGAAAATCAGAGTGAAAATACCTGACTCAAATATCTTCACTTTTCATTTTCATATCAGTTGCTTTTTTAGCATGTTTTTTCAGCACACCTCTGCATCGCTCAGTATTGCTTACGAGGTGGCCTGTCGCTGTGTTCGTTGCACAAATCAATCACTGCTGGAGTTACTTGCGTTCCTCATGGACCCCCTTGTGATGTTTGTGACTACATTGTTTGGGGGCTTCACAAAGGCAGTGCGCTAGTCCGTCAGGCAAGTATCTGGCATTTCTCCTCTTGAAGTAGAAAAGAGTCAGGAAGGATCAGAAATACTTAAAAAATAATTTGGATTGACAACCCTGCCTGCATAGAGCTTTAATTTTCCAAGATACTCAGTGATTAATACACACAGAGGATAACTTCCATTGGCCTCAGTTGCTGCCAATGGTGTTTCCCTGTGAAGAACTCAGACATCCAAAAAATGCAAGCCAGACTTATTAAAAATAAATTAAAAAAAAAGTGAAAATTACCTGTCCTGGCACTGTCGGTGATGGGCTGCTGTTCTCCAGGGCAGTGTTCATTGCTGTGATGTTCTCCTTGTTGTCCCCTGCTCTCGTTCACTTAACGTCTTCCAAATGCAGTGCCAAATGGTCAGGGATCTTGTGGTGTTTCTTGCTTGGATCCATCCCTGGACAGATCCAGAGGATGCGCTGAGGAAGGAAGGGAACCTTTGGAAAGGGGAGATCTGGAAGACTGTACTATCTTATATGCCTAAACAGCAGCTGAATTAATCTTGCATTAATTATGGCATTTCTTGTGTATACACTTAACTTTGAAACCTTGGGTTTTCTTTAAAAGGGATCTGTTTTTATTCTAATGCCTGCTTTTTTCTTTCCAAAGCAAACTTCATAAATAGGTTGCAGCACTGAACCACCCACGTGGGTGATAACTGCAGATGTCTACCATTTGAGAAATTCAAACAACAAAATAATGGTAAATTATTATTTTCTGAGAGCCTGCTCTTGATGGGAAGGAGTTTGTCAGCAAGCCCAATGGCAAATGAACAGCAGAATTGGGAATTTGGGGTTCAATTCCAGCTCCGGATGGGTGAATGCTCCAATTGTTTTCTGCCTATTTCTCAGCAAAACCATGTCTTTTTTTGTACCCCGTCTATATATCTTTTATATCCATAAGTCCCTGCAGCTTGGCTCTCCCCAGCCCCTTGCCCAAGCAACTTCCCTTCACCCTTTAGACTGTCCTTGCACCCATTTTTCCTTCCCGTGGCTCCTTTCTAATGCCACTGCTCTCTTCTTGGCTCAGCATTCCCCTCCCAGCCTGCCTCTCCCCGCAATCCCTGTTTCCAGAGGTTTTCTCTTACATCCTTCTTACAGTTCCCAATCTCCCTGTGTTTTCACTAAGTCTCCTCCTGGGTCTGGCTCTCTTAAGCCAGGATTGGGCATCTTTTCCCTCCGGCTGCCAGGAGGGAGGCTTAAACCCAGTGGTGAGTCACTGTGCGGAGCAGTCTCTGGTGAGCCCTGCTGCCGGTTCGTGATTTTGTGGAGGTGGCACACAGAATGGTTTGGTTGGAAGGGACCTTTAAAGGTCATCTAGTCCACCCACCCCCAGCCATGAGCGGGGATGTCTTCAACCAGATCAGGTTGCTCAGAGCCCCGTCCAACCTGGCCTTGAATGTTGCCAGGGATGGGGCATCTCCCTGGCCAACCTGGGCCAGTGTTTCCCCACCCTCATCATGAAAAAATTCTTCCTTAAATCTAGTCGGAATCTACCCACTTGTAGTTTAAAACCACGTCAGAGCTCTGTGCGAAAGGGGGGGTTTCACTGCAGGTGGGTTGGCTCAGGCAGGCTCCCATGTACAAAGGAGCTGCAGGAGCATGAAATGTTCTCAGCAAGGCTGTAATCTGAGATTTTAGTAACTAACAAAAGCCTTAAGTGTGAACAACTGGGTAATTTTTATCTTCTCCCCCTCATTGCTTATAGCTTGGCCAAATTCAGCCAGATTTTTATATCGTGACAACATATCCAAGACATAGCACTTTCTCCCATATGACATCTCTCTTCAAAGATCTTTGGAAGAGAAACCTTATTCTTTTTAAAAGAAAAAGTAATCATAGAATGGTTAGGGTTGGAAGGGACCTCAAAGATCATTGAGTTCCAACCCCCCTGCCATGAGCAGGGACACCTCCCACTAGAGCAGGTTGCTTAAGGCCCCATCCAGCCTGGCCTATCTAATAATCTAGATATATTTTCTTAGCCTCATTTTTGGAACCTTTTGGGCTGAAATTTTCTGTGGAAGGGGAAAAAAAAAATAATCAGTCTTAAAGCAGACAATTCAGAATCACGGTTTTGCTTTTGCTGGTTGAAATGTGTCAGAGTTTTAAATAACCCAACAGGCTCTCATAGTGGGAAGTGTTGGCAGCTGTAAATATATAGTTACGTCCAGCAGGTTAATACAGCATCCAGAGGGAGGATGTGCCAGTACTTTCATTAACGTAAATAACTTCAAACACTCTATTTTAATACCTACGTGGGGTACTACCGCAACGGAGGGCTGTACGTACCCCAGCACCTTGTTGTCCTGGTCAAGGGACATCATGCTGGGGCTGGTTTTTCCTCCAGAGTTGGGGAAGGAGGTGGACATTGCCAATGGGTTGGTTTTGTGTATCAGGACTCATGTGCTGAGAGCTCTGCAAGAGTTCACCTGTCAGATGGGGAAGTATCTTTCACCTTTTTCCAAGAAGAAGGAAATTTGAAAAAGACAAGTTTGTGTTCTCTCACTCCAGTGGCTGCCAGATGGTTCCCACCATTTGGAAATGTCCCCTTCTGATAGTTTGTGACTTTCTTTTCAGTACGGGCTTGCTGCTTCTACTGCTGTTTTGCTATTGGAAGATATGGTAGAATATTTTTAGTAGGGAAAAAAAAAATTAAATAAAACATTTAAAACTTGCCACTTTATGAGGTTGAGGAGATTACACTGAGCTGTCCTGAGCCTTTTCTTGCCTTGATGGCAGTTCACACCAAGAGGCCGGTGGTGCCTTAGACTGCATCTTCTCACTTCCTTGTTGGTTTTTACTCTTATTACGTGGAAGTTGAAGTCAATTCTTTGTCATTGTGCAGCTGCTGTTCTTAATGCTTGATACAGCATGCTGAGTTATATTTAAGTATCTAATGAACTGCCTCAAATTCAAAATGTGTTAGCACTCGGAAGAATATGAAGTGCCCTTTTATTATTACCTGATGTTGAGAGCTTTGCTTTTTTTTTCACAGAAACATCTGAGCTCACCCAGTGACTTGGACAATAATTAATCTTCCGTAGAAAAGACATGAAGTTGTTTCAGAGGTTCTCCTACTTTCAAAGCCATCCTTTTGCGAGTTAGTAGGAAAGTTGCATTTCTGCAGTGGACATCACTGGGCCAAAGTGGTCAGAGAATTATTACGGCAGGGTGCTGGCCTTGAGTTTTGGGTGCGGAGGATTGGGTTGAGAGGAGAGGAGCAGCTGCCCTTCAGATGCTCATCACCAGTGTAGTTCAACCCAAATCTCAAGCTTCCCTGTTGCCTGGCAAGGTCTCACGCTGGTGGTGATCCATAAGTACTGGTGTGTGAATTGGCAGTAGGGAATATTGCTGGGCATGGTGAGCATGTCCTTGTCTTGAGAGTCTGAACGCATTTCTTCCATGGCAGTCCTGGTGGAATGAAGAAGAACGGTGATTTAATATTAGGTTTGGTACTTAACAAGGCAGACAACGCCTACGACTTATGAATTCAGCACTAATTGTGGAATGGAATTTCTGCACCCGTTTCCCAGCCTCTAGGAGGTGTAAGCTGTCAGGGGAATAAGAAGAAATAGGGAGCATTTCTGTGTGTATTTTGTTTAAATTTTGGACAGTTTAAAGAATGGTTGCAAATCAATCCATACATTTAATTGAATCATAAGATGCAATTTAATGTATCTTGTTTGCTAGCCTAAACTTCATTTGTGCAAGTCTCTTATCGTTATTTGCATTGTTTGCAATAACGTTTCAAAATGTTACGAATGCTTGTTATTGCTTTAAGCTTTTCATTTCAGTTTGGGGGGTCTTTACATCTTTTGGTTTCTCACCAGAGTTTTCCAAAGTGAGTAGTGACTAGCTGTTGGGTCTGGCCATACTTCATAGAATCATAGAATGGTTTGGGTTGGAAGGGACCTTAAAGATCATCGAGTTCCAACCCCCCTGCCCTGGGCAGGGACACCTCCCACCAGACCACGTTGCTCAAAGCCCCATCCAGCCTGGCCTTGAACCCCTCCAGGGATGGGGCAGCCACAGCTTCTCTGGGCAACCTGTTCCAGTGCCTCACCACCCTCACAGCAAAGAATTTCTTTCTGGTATCTAATCTAAATCTTCCCTCTTCCAATTTAAATTCCCCTCCCCAGCTCTCCTGTAGCTCCCTTCAGATATTGGAAGGCTGCTCTAAGGTCTCCCTGGGGCCTTCTCTTTTCCAGGCTGGACTCCCCCAACTCTCTCAGCCTGTCAACTTGGTTAAGTTTATCTACTGTAAATCAAATGCACACCTCCTGTGTATAATACAATATACAATGCATTTCTCCTGGATGGTTTTTGTTAACACAATCTGGTATGTTTTCTTCCTCTTATCTATAAAGTATTTCACTTACAGCAAACCTCAGCACTCTCAGACCTTTCTCTTTGGTTTTTGTTGAGGCTTCATTTCACTGAGGCTCCACTTCTGCCTCACTTCTCCCTTCCAGTTCTCCATTGCTGAGTTTTTTTTTTTCTTTGTCCGGTCTCCCTTCTGCCTGTTTTTGATGATATATTTCAGCGCTCTGATGGCGTGGGTTTTTGAGAGCAGTGGGAGGCACAGCCTGCACCACTTCCTGCCTCTCCACCACCCCTGCGGCTCTCGCGCAGCTCGCCTGGTCACCATCTGCAACGGGCTCGGAGGTGGGACCTGCCATCGCCGCCGGGCTGCCCTCTGCTTCTGAGAATGCGCCTTGAGCTTGCAGTTCCTGGTTCTGCAAGGTTCTGGCAGAACCTTCCTGGTTCTGCCTTGCAGATAAGGTTGAGACCCTTCCCCCACAAGCTGCCCCGAAGAGCTTAAAAAGTGCGTGGATGTAGCTTGTGTGGATGCCCCACAAGATCTTCTTGGTTTCTTCTTGGTTTCCTTTAATGGGGAGGGAGAGACCGGTTGGAGCCTGGCCTGGTTTCCAGTGTGCGTTGCGTCACATGCCCGTTGGACTGACAGGTGAAAAAGGCAAGTCGAGACTGCAGAGTGGTTTCTTACAGTCAGCTTACCTTGTATAGGTGTTGTCCTGGGGCCATCTCACAGAAGTCTACTCCCTGAAGTTTTTGAAGTTCTGCGTTCAGAAGTCATATCTGCCAATCTTGGCTGTAGGACTTTGAGATATATTTGCTAATTTATATTCTAGCAGCGTTGCTCTGATTGACGTGTGTGGTGGTTATGTTTATTAGTTTACTAGTCTTGTAAGGCTAGTGGTGAGAGCGTGGAATTATGGATGTTTTCGCTGGCGTCAATATTCGTAGTAGTTACCACCGAAGATCTCCAGGCAGGAAGCTGTACCACAAACAGTGCGAGAATAGGAAGATCTAAAGAAGAAAAAAAGATGTCAGTTCCTCGCTGCGTTTAAGTACGTTTTGCTTTTTGTGCTTGTGATTTAACAGATGTCTTCTTCTTTGTGCAGGGCTGTAATTGAAGTACAAGATGGCAAGAACCAGCCACAGCAACTATGTCCTTCAGCAGCTAAACAACCAAAGAGAGTGGGGCTTTCTGTGCGACTGCTGTATCGCTATCGATGATATTTATTTCCAAGCACATAAAGCAGTCCTTGCTGCGTGCAGCTCCTATTTTAGGATGTTTTTTATGAACCATCAACACACTACAGCCCAGCTGAATCTAAGCAACATGAAGATTAGCGCTGAGTGCTTTGATCTTATTTTACAGTTCATGTATTTAGGAAAAATTATGACAGCCCCTGCCAATTTTGAGCAATTTAAAGTAGCCATGAACTATTTACAGCTGTATAACGTACCTGAATGTCTAGAAGATATACAGGATACAGACTCATCTAGTTTAAAGTGTTCATCTTCTGCTTCTAGCACCCAGAGTAGTAAAATGATATTTGGCGTGAGAATGTATGAAGACACACTTGCTAGAAATGGCAGCGAAGCAAACAGGTGGGGCATGGAGCCGCCAAGTTCAACAGTAAATACATCCCATAACAAAGAGCCTGACGAAGAAGCTTTGCAGCTCAACAGCTTCCCCGAACAACTGTTTGATGTCTGCAAAAAGAGCACCACATCTAAATTCTCTCACACAAAAGAGCGTGTGTCCCACTCGCGCCGTTTTGGAAGGAGCTTCACCTGCGACAGCTGCGGGTTCAGTTTCAGCTGTGAAAAGCTACTGGATGAGCACGTGTTGACGTGCACTAACAGGCATTCTTACCAAAGCACCAGGTACTACACTGCTGAAAAAATAGACTTTAGCGAAAAGGACTCTACTTCCAAAATAATCTCCACGCAGACAGAGAAATACAAGGGGGACTCAAGCCAAGCTGTGGATGATTCTTCGTCTCCCGTGTCAAACGTGACCAGCAGGAAAAGCAGCACAGTTGCCTCCGAGACGTCAGGTGAAGAAGGAAGTAGAGCCTCGGAGAGGAAGAGGATTATCATCAAGATGGAACCGGAGGACAATCCTACAGACGAGCTGAAGGATTTTAATATTATTAAGGTGACAGATAAAGACTGCAACGAGTCTTCGGACAATGACGACCTAGATGATGAACAGGAAGAGCCGCTTTACAGATACTATGTTGAGGAAGAGATCAGAGAGAAGAGAAATGCTCGGAAGACATTAAAGCCCCGTTTATCCATGGATGAGGATGATAGAAAGTGTTTGAAAAGTCCGCGGCACCTTCCCAGGAAGGCTCCTTCCGTGCAGGAAGATGTGGAGAACGCTCCCTGTGAACTTTGCGGGCTAACGATCACCGAGGAAGATTTGTCCTCTCATTATTTATCCAAACACATAGAAAGTATATGTGCTTGTGGCAAGTGTGGTCAAATACTGGTCAAAGGCAAGCAGTTACAGGACCACGCGCAGACCTGTGGAGAGCCCCAGGATCTGACCATGAACGGTATCCGAAATTCTGAGGAGAAAATGGACTTAGAAGAAAACCCCGAGGAGCAGTCAGAAATAAGGGACATGATGTTTGCAGAGATGCTGGAGGACTTCAGGGACAGTCATTTCCAAATGAACAGCCTTCAAAAAAAACAGTTATTCAAGCATTCTGCCTGTCCCTTCCGATGCCCTAACTGCGGTCAGCGTTTTGAAACTGAAAACCTAGTGGTGGAACATATGTCTAACTGCCTGGAGCAAGACCTGTTCAAGAACTCCATGATGGAAGAGAACGAGAGGGATCACAGACGTAAGCATTTCTGCAATCTTTGTGGGAAAGGATTTTATCAGCGTTGCCACTTGCGGGAACACTATACCGTTCATACCAAGGAAAAACAGTTTGTTTGTCAGACATGTGGGAAGCAGTTCTTAAGAGAGCGCCAGTTGCGGCTCCACAATGATATGCACAAAGGCATGGCCAGGTATGTCTGTTCCATTTGTGATCAAGGAAACTTCCGAAAACATGACCATGTACGGCATATGATATCTCACTTATCAGCTGGAGAGACTATATGCCAGGTCTGCTTTCAGATATTCCCAAATAATGAGCAACTGGAGCAGCACATGGATGTTCATCTGTATACATGTGGAGTATGCGGAGCAAAATTTAATTTGAGGAAAGATATGAGATCTCACTATAATGCCAAGCATTTGAAAAGAACATAAGCGTAAACTTAACTGTTAAAGCATTAAGTTGGCAGCAGAGAGAACACCAAAGCAAGGCATACAGTATAGTAGACAAAAATTGAAAAAGAAAAAAAAAAATTGAAAATAAGTCTCTTTTTTATTATTTTTTTTTTAAGACCCTCCTAACCATAGGTGTCTATTTAGGTATAGCTTTGCAAAGCGTCATGTGTTTAATTATTACATTTTCACTGTTTCCTAATATCAGTTTCTGTTCTTAATTTTATTGTTTTACTAAGTAGATATACAAATCATTATTTTTAAACTGTAGATTAAAAGCACAATGTTACCCCTTCACTGACTGCTATTAAACAGTTCTCGGATCCACATCCGTAAGATGAGTGCTTTAATATTTCCATGTCTTGTTTCTTCATGCGAAATTTTTAGATCACAGCGATTAATATGCAAGAGCATAATTGTTCGTAATCCCCAAATTAATTTTCCAAATGAAAAAACCAACAAAATCAACAAACCAAAAAAAAAAAACCAAACAGCCCCAGTGCCAAGAAATAATCCTTTGCTGTCTGACTCTGCTGTAAGGGCAGAGCTGGCTGTCCTGGTCCTCTGCTCCTTGGCTTTGTGGCGAGGTGCGTCCCAGGGGTGAGAGCACGTAGGCTCGGTGACACCTTGCAGATTTGGGATTGGTGTGCGGCAAAAGGGAAAGGGAGTTTAATGACTCTGGGGGGTAACTGAGGAGTTCTCAGAGGAACGGTCATTTTCCAGACTTGAAGCCCTAGCAGAACCGTACAACTCTACGTTTTTGGCCTTTTCTTTTTTCTGTCGGTGCCTCCGTGGGTGCGTATAAACTGCTTGGCTCTAATATAGGAGGGTGGCTGTGGCGGATTGCTAGGAATGCGGGATGCCGATGGTGCGTTGAAGACTGCGTTTCTCAGCTGTAAATGGTGCCTTCCTGCTTGTGTTGGAAAGTTAAAAAAGCGGGATGGGTGGCATGATGATAGTCCCATTGCTGGGGTGGGGAGGGAGACGGGGAGTGTGGCTCATGTGAACCTTAGATTTTTTTATTTTTTTTTGTTTCTTGTCTTCATGATACTTTCTGAATGTTCTGTTTTTCAACAGAGTATAACGAGAAAAAGACTGCAGAGTTTGCTTAATAAATGTAAAGACATTTTATGCCTTTTAAGATTCCTTTCTGATTCTAGTATAGCTCTAATCTGCGTAGCTTGTCTCTTAATTTAATTGAAATTTAAAATCCTACTAAGTGTCAGCTGACATCAATTCAGCGAGGCATTTTGGCCTTTGAGAGAATGACTGGCGTTGACTCTTAGGCACCAGATGTCTAAATGTTTGTTAAGTGCGTGATTTTTAATGGGGGGAGGAAACTATTAAAAAATAAAACCTAGCAGTACTGTCTCCCAGCAGATCTCGCTTTATTAAAGAGGGTAGTGATGCCACTTCCTGCTGTGCCGTGGAGGGAGTAAAGCAATTTAGATCAGCAATTAAGGGAGTTGGATTAGGTGATTGTTGTAGGTCCCTTCCCACTGCAATATTCTGTTCTATCACCTCGCCAGCCGTTGGTGGGGTTGAGAATAGGAGCCAGGAGCTGAGGGTCTTGTCCAGGGCTTTCATGTGCTTGTCGCTGTCAGAGTTGAGTTTTGATCCCTGGTTGTTTCTTGGGGGTTATGAAGAGTATCGAGCTTTAGTGGTAGACTAGAGAAATGAATGCAGTTCCGAGTCTCCGCTCTAAGAGTTGCCTTGCATTTATTCAGTTTTGAATGTGCGTTAGAATTTCTTTTGGTTGGTAGATGAGTGCATTTCTGCCGTGATGGAGAAGGACCCTGCCACCAGACCTCAGTTTGGGCCATTGGCGTTTTGCCGTAACTGCTCAGTCCTGTGCCTTTTTGGATGATGCTGAAACTGACCATGTGTTGAAATAACACTGGGGCCAAAAAGACCACAGACGTGAATGTACCCCCATCCTTTCAGTTAATTCAGAGCTTTCCCTGTCTGAAGATTTATTCCACATTTCCCATCCCAAGCCAGATTGAAGCTCACGTTGTAAGAGTTCAAAGAATAAGCAGGAAGGGTATTTTAATACTTGTTAGTACAGGAATTGGTGATTATAAGGCTCTTAAAAAGAGAAAATATTTAACTGTAATGATCATTTTAGAGATGAAGTAGTTAGTCAAGTGCTGTAGTGGAAGAGCTGGTGGGGCTAATCCACTGCAGAGCAATTCTCTGACATGCAGGTTATCCCTTACGGTATCAGGTATGGCCAGACTGGGAAAAGCAGCCAAGGGAAGTGAGGGAGAACTGGAGGGTGCTGGGGGAGTAGGCAGAAGAAGAATCTTGTGGCGCTGGAGAAGTGGGAAGGCTGAGTGGGAGATGAGGGATGGACAAAACCTGGGAGGGCAGGATCAGAGCCGTGCAGTTGGGAAGCAAATCTCAAAGGTGGCATGGAGGGGACGGCTGGAGGGACCGGATAAAATACCCTGTGAGAGCGGAGTGGGAAGGTCTCAGCTTGGCTGGGGGAGCTGTCAGCCCCAGGTGATTAGCTCCCTACGGTTAAAGGCCTTGGTGAAAAGGAGGAGGTGACCTCTGTGAACTAAGTGATCATTCCTCAATACAGTG